TCAGTTTAATCAGGAAAAACCCCCAAAAGAAACCAGAGAAACTAGTTGCCCAGGCTGGAGGAAGGGGGGAGGGGCAGTTGGGGATGACCAGGCCAGCAGGAGAGGGGGCAGTTAGGGGTGATCAGGCTGGCACACAGAGGCAGTGAGGGGCGATCAGGCATGTGGGGGAAGAGAGGGTAGTTAGGGGTAACCAGGCAGACAGGCAGGCGAGCGATTAGGAGCTAGTGGTCCAGGATTGTGAGAGGGATGTCCAACTACCAGTTCAGGCCTAAACCGGCAATCGAACATCCCCCGAGGGGTCCTGAATTGGAGAGAGTGCAGGCTGAGCCGAGGGGACCCCTCCCCATCCATGCATTTCATGCCCCAAGCCTCTAGTTTTTCTATAAATTAAGAAAATCATATGGTCAAAGCAGAATATACTAAAAGTGATGCCACAAGAACAATTTATTCGAACAAGCTAACAAAAGAGGAAGGGAAAGCCTTCTAAAAACTTGTAAACCCTACTGTCCTCTCTAAAAGACCAACTGGCCCTGATGGATCCACTGATAACTTTTTCTAAACTTGCAAACAGAAAGTTATCTACCTATACAACCATGAAAATAAGGAACTCCTCCCAATGACCTGGTAGAATTCTTCTCAACTAAAACAGATACATGGAGTTATCTCAGTATACACACCCATAGGAATTTATAAATTTAACTGTCCACTTCTGATTAAATGCTTCCAATTAAATATTTCAGAATAAGGAACAGGCCGAAACCAGTTTGGCTCAGTGGATAGAGCGTTGGTCTGCGGACTGAAAGGTCCCAGGTTCGATTCCGGTCAAGGGCATGTACATTGGTTGTGGGCACATCCCCAGTGGAGGGGGCGCAGGAGGCAGCTGGTCGATGTATCTCTCTCATCGATGTTTCTAGCTCTCTATCCCTCTCCCTTCCTCTCTGTGAAAGATCAGAATAAGGAACAGGAGTCTTTTCTATAACCACCTCCTGAAGTCCTCTGACATGCCCAAGCTCTTATAGTTCTTACTGCCCAGGAGCCCCAGCCCAGCATCAGCCCTTCTGGAAGGCCTCCTCCACACTACTAGTACACTCCCGAACTAGATGCTTATTAGCAAACCTGATCATATCTGGTCTATGCTCAAAACATTCCTGCAGCCCCCACCCCCTAATTTCTACATAAAGAAGTCTAAGCCCCTTGACATGGGACACAAGATTCTTTCCTCAACTGGCTCGCCTGACTGTCCCCAGGAAGCCAACCTACCACACTAGACACTTAAATGGCTTCACTCTTAGAGGCCTTACTGTTCCATCACCTAGAACCACATACCAAACTCCTATCTGCCCCTCAACACCAAGCTGAAACACCACTGTGAGGCTGCAGATCACCCCCAGCACTACCCGCCACCAAACACACCTGCATCTATCAAGAAGATACATCAACCCTCAAACATCTCATCTAAGGTTAATACCAAAATCTCAAATTCTAGACCCAGCCTACCCCAGCACCATCACTAACCTCCCACCAACAAACAGCCAAACAGTCCAAATAGCCTTCACCTCAACCAAGAGCCTCTTGGAAATCAGAAGCAACTAGCAAAAAGACTTTAGCTGCTATCATCCTCCATCTCACCTCCCCATTGAAATACATGCAAGTAGTTTCAGGTCCCACTGTTTATGAATGACGATACTTTCTGTTTTGAAGAATATATGCTCAATATATTTAATAAAAAAAAAAAAAGAAAAAAGAATTCTGGCTGTTAGCTCAGTTGGTTGATTAGAGTGGGATCCCGATATGCCAAGGTTGCAGATTCAATGCCCAGTCAGAGCACATACAATAATTAACCAATGAATACATAAGTAAGTGGAACAACAAATTGATGCTTCTTTTTCCCCCCCATCCCTTTCTTCTCTCCCTCTCCCTCCCTCTCTCTTTTGCTCTCTCTCTCTCTCAAATCAATAAATAAAAATTTAAAAATGTTTTTAAAGAAAAATAAAGAGAGCCCAGGAAATGGAAAGCACCAAAAGGTATTCTGATCTTCCCAATCCAGCACTGGGATGAACAGTGGCAGGCCTACCCTCACTCCTAGGAGAAGTCCTCCCCTCTATCTCTACATCTATCCTGTGCCAGGTTTCCCAGCCAAACGGCCCTGTATCCTAGGGAGAATCCCTATACGGATGCAATCTGATTCATGCTTTCCACCTTAAGGTAAAATCCGGGAGATGATCACATATGGCAGAAAGGAAACCCTCAGGAGCTGGCACAGTGAAAATGAAGACAGGTGCAATATCCACAGAATACTGAGGCCTTTTCTCTTGCCAAAAAAAAAAAAAAAAAAAAAAGCCCTGGGAAGGATGTAAAAAAAAAGTGCCAACACTCCTGATGTGTTAGTGTGGGTCAAACACTGCAGCCATTGTCTTAAAGCACCTTCTCCCCATAGCCTAGCCCCTGTACCTGCACAGGGTCTGACTTCACAAGGGCCTAATGAATTTCCTACAATTTTGCATTAACTATGTCAAAACACAAAACCAACAGCTAGCCTCTGACCGTCCTAGAGACCCATCTTATAACCAAGGCAAACAGATGAGGAGCCAGCCAGGGATTTAGATCACCCTGAATCTCGAACCCCTCCCACTCCGTCTGCTCCACGCCATGGATCCCAAATCCATGGGTTAAGCACAAACAGCTCTCACTAAAGAACGAGCAAGTGGAACTCAGGTATCAAGCTTAGCACATGGTAAAAGGCTGCATTCCAAAACCACTTGAAAGAAAGTGTGAGGACTTGTTAATGCAGGGTCATTTGCTTTTGTTTAATTTGTCTTAATTTCACTATTATTTTTTAAAACAGAAAATATATTACAAGAATGAAAATCTGAATGCTTCAAGAGTGAAAAATTTCCTTTTCAGTCCTATCCCTAGCTACCATCCTTTCCCAAAAAACAATCAATATTACACATTTTTCTGTAGCTTTACAAAGATATTCTGTCTATGCATGCACAAGAAAAGATATGTTCATTTCACTCTCTTTTTTCACATTTGGTAACATATTATACACTGTTCTATATTTTTTAAAATAGATAAAAAACAAACAAACAAATAAGCAAACAGAAGCCATGTAGGTTGCTTGGTGCAAAAAAGAAAAATGATTTTTAAAAGAAACTTTCTAAAGGTGGCTTAGAAATTACTCTTGAATAAAATAGAAGTTTCTTTAATAATAAAATATATATATTTTTTTTTATTGTTTTTTTTTAGGGAGAGGGGGAGAGAGAAGTATCAATCAGTTGCACCTGACCAGAGATCGAATCCACAACCTAGATATGTGCCCTGACCAGGAACCGAACTGGCAACCTTTTGGTCCATGGGATAATACTCATCCAACTGAGCCATACCAGCCAGGGTGCTTTATATTTTTCATTTAACAATATAACTTACAGATTACTCCAACTCAGTACCTAAAGAACCTCCTCATTTTCTTATGGCTGCATGGTATTCCTTTATGAAGATTACAAAAAATTATTTAACTAATGTTCAGGGTTGCTTCAAGTGCCATCCAATTACAGATGATAAACATTTTTTTATAATAAACATAAAAACCTCTTTCCTCCCTCATCAAAGTGTGCAAAGACCACACTTAGAAAAGAAAAAGCTTAAGAGTCAGTTTACGCCGAAACCGGTTTGGCTCAGTGGTAGAGCGTCGTCGGTCTGTGGACTGAAAGGTCCCAGGTTCGATTCCGGTCAAGGGCATGTACATTGGTTGCGGGCACATCCCTGGTAGGGGGTGTGCAAGAGGCAGCTGGTCGATGTTTCTCTGTCATCGACGTTTCTAACTATCTCTCTCCTATTCCTCCTCTCTGTAAAATATCAATAAAATATATTTAAAAAAAAAAAAAAAAGAGTCAGTTTACCCTTGATGAGAAATCATTTCCCTAACCTCTTTGTTCATAAAAAGGCAGAGCTATGGACACTATAGACACATCTAGTCAGCGGAAGCCAGGGACTTGTATAACCAAGATCACAGCCACATGTACACAGGGACTAACCATGCCAAACACATTCTGGTTAATAGCAAAACGCCAATTTTCACTCAGATTTACGTAAAAAAAAAAAAATTTTTAAAAGTCACATTCCCAACAATTTGTTGACTCCTGAACAAGTCTAGTATTTGAGTATTTGAAATTAGTCTATTGGGAAAAAATCTGAAAAGATATAAAGTTTAAGTGATGTTCCCTCTTTGGAAAAAACCAGCTGCCTTCTCTATGTCACAGACACAAAAGTAGAGAGGACCAGGGCAAAAAGACAGGGACTTTGCCTGTCCCCATGTGTGAGGGCAGATTGCACCATGTACCTTCTGCCGCCCAAGGGACAAATGGACTTAGGATCATTTTCTGGGACCCACCAGATTTTGCTGAGGGTTTCTTTCCCCTCAACTGAGCTCAGCCTAAGACTGGGCATGAACCACTGGGCAAAAAACAGCTGAAAGGGTGCCTGAGTGGTGGAGGAGCCACACCTGCAGGGCCCAGAGCCGCCCACAAATCAGACACTGCTTTCGACCCAAGTCTCGTGCACATCCTCCCATTTATTAAGAAATTGCCTCACCATGTTCCATGTGGGAGGCCACATAAAGACTTTGATCTTTAACATGGCGAAGTAACAAAGGAGCCAGTGCTGGCAGTAGTCTTACTCCCTGTATATGCCTGAGTGCCAGGCCAGTTAAGCAAAGGCCAATGGGAGTGAAGGCTACTGAGGTGTGTCCCCCACTGACAACAAGCTCAGGTCACTGGTTCTGACTGCAAACAGTTCAAATTCCATGAGTGACAATCACTTGTCAATTAATTGTTGGAATGGAAGCCCACACCATACTGGCCCAATGGCCACCTTTTAGAACCCTCTAGCCAATGGCTTGGCTTGCAAAGTCCTCTCCAGCCTCTTGGCTTGCCACCATGACTCTCAGCACAGAATGGATCAGGAGAGCAGCACAAATGATCTCCTAACCAGTGACTCACCAGGAAGTCTGTTCATGTTGACACCTTGAGCTGAGAGTCCTATTCCCATGTACCTTCAAAAAAGCACACACACAAAAGTTTGGTTAACAAATGATTATGCAATTCCCTTCTCAAATACGTAATGGAAAAAAAAACACACACACAGAAAAATAGGAAAAACAATGAATGTAGAGACTCTTTCAACATACTAGTGGTTCTTGGAGAACCTTTACATTTTGATTTTCCAATGGAAATCATCTCAATGTCTTAAGCAGCTGAAGAATCAGGAGGTAGTACCTGTAACCAGGAACCACTGGCTTCAAATTTCAAAGGGAAGTTTCCTGAAATCACTGCTTCCATTCCCATTGTTTCTGGCTCCAGCTGAGGTGGCAGAATCTATTCCCAAGAAGTGCTTACTATTATAGTAAAGTAAGTGGCTCAATCTAGTGAAGTGTTTGGCAGAGCAATGCAAGATCAATCCCACAGGGACAAGCCACTGTGCAGCAAGGACCAGGACATGGAAAAAGCACAGTCAGGGAGAGTCTCTACAGGATCTTCAAGATCCTCATAGAGAGCTTCTTCTCTGGGCTTCTTCTCATACCCCCTCACCCCATAATCACTGCTGGCCTCCCCACTCATCCCAAAATAGGGGATAGTGATGTGTGAGGCCTGAGACCCACTTCTTCACTCCTCTCATCCTAGGTGCCTAAACAACTAAGCCACTCACAGCAAGGTAGGGCCCAAGCTGGGCATTTCTGCCAAGGATATTTCAGTGCACCCAGAAGAGTGCAGGCCAAAAAAGGAAATGAAGAAATTTTTTTAAAATCTATATGTTTGTAGTGCACAAAGAAATGGTGAGGTATTTCCAAAAAACAAAAACAAAAAAAACACTTAAAAATAAGAGAAATGAGTCATCACCTTCTAAGAATAGAATACAAAATTAACACACAAAAAGTAGTTGTGTTCCTGTACGCTAACACTGAACAATCTATAAAGAAAATTAAGAAAATAATTTCAGCGCTGGCCAGCATGGCTCAGTTGGTTGGGCGTCATCCCACAAAAGGGTTGCTGGTGTGATTCCCAGTCAGGGCGCATGCCAAGTGTGGGCTCAATCCACACTAGGGGGTGTGCAGGAAGCAGCTGATCAATGTTCTGCTCTCACCTCAAACCCAAACATCTAAGCACAAGAGATGGAACCTGAGTTTACTGGCCCCAACCCTATGTCTTATGTCACAGTGGACAGAACAGATGCAATGTCTGCCACCCACCTCAGGATGCAGGCGCTACAGGAAGAAGCTCCAGCCATCAGAGAAAAAGCAGTCACAGCAGTACTGGGCACATAACGGACCTTCAACAAATCCCTGAGGTTTGTCCACTTGCGGGCTGGTGAAGAACCTTATCAGCAAAGTCACAGGCTCTCCCCCAGCCACATTTCTAGCTGGAACTTCAGTTTCTAGCTGGTATGACGTCATAACAGAGCTATGGGACAGATAAGCGAGCCCTGAACTCAGCTGCAACAACCCTAGTACTATTCCCCCCTCTTACTGCCACTTGACTTTAGAGCTGTGAGATTAAAAGACTTACAACCACAAAGCAAGTAACATCCAGGCAGAGGGAAGTTCACTTCTCCATCCACTCAAGAAAAATATAAGCAAACCTGAAGTTTCCTCTCAATCAACAATGGGTAATGTGTAGTGCTTCGCTAAGTTCTGGATCAATTTGGACCCAGCTCTCCAATATTCTGCCAAGAATGAAGCAAAACAATAAGGAAAGGCCATACAAAAACCCCAAACCCAAGAACGTTCTCCTGGACATATACAACAGTACCTCTGCATCTAAAGAGCAGAAAGAATGATGTTAGAAAGTCACCCTGACACTATTGCTCCTCTGTTAATCTCTGGTGGCACTTAAAAATACATGGGTTGTTGGGAGTTGTTGAGTCCTTACTAAAGTTGAATAATTCAGTAAAAATATGTGTGATAGAAACCCTTGCAATCATTCACCCATTCCACAAAGATCCTCTGTGCCCAGTATGCTGCTGGGAACACAAGGGTGGAAGCTTGGGAGTCAGTCCCTGTTCTTCAACGGTTTCCAATGTCAAGTCAGGGGCAGGCCAGAGAATCAGGACATACTGACCTGGGGATTCCCAGAGGAAGTGAAGGCTGAGCCAAAACCTGGTAAAGGAGATGAGAGGATAAAGAGGAGTGTATTCCATATAGAAGCAGCAGAATGTGCTGAGATACGGAGGCAAGAAAGCAGTCCCACGGTCAAGGGACTGAAGGAAGTTCAGTGTAGCTGGGTCATACCCTGGGCAGCCCTAAAAAAGAGCCAAAGCTGAAGCAGGAAACAGAGGAGACTGAAGCTAGCCAGTCTGCATGCTAGCTTAAGGAGATTAAGTTTCAGGGGAGGTCCAAGAGAAGCAAAAGTGGTTCAGAAAAGATAGAGCCAATCAAATAGTTGATATTTGGAAAAGGGATTGAAGAGGCAAAACTGGAGGCTTCCAAAATCATCCACTGGAAGATGACAAGGCTGGACAGGCCGGGAGCAGTGGGAATGGAGAGACATGGAAAAGGCCAAGTACTGTTGAGAACATAGTGAACTTGGGGACGAAGCTGCCCAGGACACTGCCCAACACCAACCAGCCACCAGAGAAAGGGCAATTCTCTGAGACCCACGTGGAAAGTCTGGAGCCCAAGTGCTTAGGCAGTCAGTTGGTAAGTAGCGGCCTTTCTCCAGCTCTGCTCTAGGCCTGACATTTACACTCTGCACAAACATCTGAACAGGAAACACACCTGCATCACAGCAAATATATCACACAGACCCAGATTCAAATCTAACCTCTGCCTCTGAGTTTCCATTTGTCCAAGGGCACATGACATGGTCCAGAGAGCCATCAGTGCAGCCACGGACCAGGATCAAAGGAGCACCTGATCAGAGCTGGAGGGGCTGCTGTTGGGTGACTGTCCATTAGTGCATGCACTGGGAGGCTCTTCTAGCATCGGAATCTAATAAAGGAAAGCAAGTCGTTCTCGAAGACCTGGATCTTGGAACACCTAAAAACAAATGCCTGGCCCTAGCTGGTCTGGCTCAGTGGATAGAACGTCGACCTGTGTGTGGACTGAAGGGTCCCAGGTTCGATTACGATCAAGGGCACATGCATGGGTTGAAGCCTCAATCCCCAGTAGAGGGTGTGCAGGAGGCAGCTGATCAACGATTCTCTCTCATCATTGATGTTTCTATCTCCCTCTCCCTTCCTCTCTGAAATCAATAAAAATACATTTTAAAAAAAAAGAAACTTGTTATCTTTTTAAAAGCTTGTTTACTTGGGATTGCTGAGCTGAAAGAAAGTGAGCATTTGTTTCCTTCTTGATAACAGATCAGGTGGTGCTAAGAACCACTAACCTAACATACAGGCTGCCTTGGACGCCTGGGAGTGAGGCAACAGGGGCACTCACCCCCAAGCAGGTGACTGGAATAGACAAAGCTAAATTTCCCTACACTTAACGTCTCCACCAAGGCTCTCTTCTCTTCTTTGTGCTTTCTTTATTTTTTACTTTAGAGAGAGGAAGGGGGGAATAAAAGGAGGGGAAGAGAGGAAGAATGAGAGGGAAACATGGATATATTGTTCCACTTATTTATATACTCTGGTTGATTCGTGTATATGCCCTGACTGGGGATTGAACCCACCACCTTAGCTTATCAGAACGATGCCCTAACCAACTGAGCTACCTAGCAGGGCAGGGCTCTCTTTTCAAGCAGCAGGATATATCCGAGGAGCTTAGGGACAAAATTATGTACCCCCTCACAAATGCAGCAATATGGAGAAGAAATACCATTTGGCAGAGAGGTGAGGCAGCCAGTAAGTGTAGTGAGACAACAGATGAGCTCTTCGTGGCAGTGAGGCCATGAGTCGGCTCTACACTCTCAATTTAGACCCTTCACTGCCAAAACCACCACACACGCTAGAGTTAGAAGAGTGACTCTGCCTTCTTGTTGGGCTCCAGAGAGAAGACGGCAGCAAGCGGGTGCTGCTCAGGCCAAGTAGGTTTCAGATCTGCCACAGATCATATAATATCTTAATAATAATAATAATAATAAAAGATCCGCCACAGATCATATAATACCTTAATAAAAAATTTTAAAAAAAGATCCGCCACAGGGCAGTGGAGGAGCAGCAGCAGTTGCAGCAAAGGCCCTTGGCTGACCAAACAGCCAGGTCCACCCTGAGGCTCTCACCATCCACTGCAGCCAGTGGGCTGAACTGGGGCCCCGGAGAATGACCTGCCTGGTGGCTTCTAGGGCCCATACTACCCTCCACCCCCTCTGCTGACTCTCCCACTAAAGCAACTGTCTGCTGAGCCCACTGCAGCCATGTGGAGAAATGTGAGCACACTTGTCAGCTTGGATTCTTCTTCTTTTTTTTTTTCCTCTTTGGTTTTACAGATTTTCTACAAGTTACTTTGATAGTCATAGAAAAATCATTTTTGCCGAAACCAGTTTGGCTCAGTGGATAGAGCATCGGCCTGCAAATTGAAGGGTCCCGGGTTCGATTCCAGTCGGAGGCATGTACCTTGGTTGCGGGCACATCCCCAGTGGAGGGTGTGCAAGAGGCAGCTGATCGATGATTCTCTCTCATCAATGTTTCTAACTTTCTGTTTCTCTTTCTTCCTCTCTGTAAAAAATTAATAAAATATATTTAAGAAAAAAAAAAAGAAGACATAGTGTAAAACTTTAGAAAGAAAAAAAAAAAAGAAAAAATCATTTCAAAAGTCAGCTGATGACTGCATAGAGGCTGTTGGCTCTCACCCATTTCAGAGCCAAAGGGCTACATTGGGGTACCTGACCTTCATAGTCAGCTCCTCAGTACACCCAGTTCCCTGAGCCTGGATAAGAGGGCAGACGAGTGAGCCACAGGAAATGGTCAAAATCCCTGCTCATGGAGGAGCTGGCACTCCGGTTCACGTGGCACCTGGACATCCCAAGCACGCCCCAGAGCACACACTCAGGGGATCCCGCTGCAGTGACACAGGATCAACACAGTCCAACTGACGAGAGATTCTTTCCCAACCCGGCA